TGTTTCAACTTATAATTTCAATTTTCATATCTGGATGAACTTTGTCTATTGATTTTATTATCATTGCTGATTTTATTCATATTTAACCAATATAAAAATATAAATTTTTTATCTTTTTTATCAATTGTCCAAGTGCAGCCCTTAACCCCCTTTTCTTGTATTTTCTTGTTTTCCAAAGGGTTTCTTGAGGGATTCCCCTTTTAGGGTTGCTGCTTATTTGAGTTAGCGCAGACTCTTCCCCCCTTTCTGTTTCACCATTTGTATAATTCCCTCTAGAGTCAGCAGCTTTCCAATTCCTTCTCTATTATGTCTATATTTGACTATAGGAATAACTATATCATTGATGTTGAAAATGTATTTGACACAGAGGCAACTAGCCAATTCAGATAAATTACGCCAGTTTTAACCAAGAAGAATTGTTTATTAAACTAGAAAGATCTCTTACTTCAGAAATTAAACTGAAATGGGAAATAGCTACTCTAAAAAAATATATTGATGAAAGAATTACTCCCCGAGGCTTAAGATTACTCAAATTGCCCACCTCCGATCAAGATGATCCTGAATTTATGGAGGAGTGGAATAACAAGTTGGAATTATGCACTTTAGGTCTAATGGAGACTTTAATAGTAAAGAAAAGTAAAAATTATCCATCCTAGACTCAGAAATTAATAACTTGAGAAAAAAACTATTACCCTTCACTGAAACACAAGCTTATAACCAAAACTGCATACTAATTCAAAGTAAGATTGAAAAGGTCGAGATAGATACAAAACATATTAAGATAAAGAAATACATTAGGGATAAGACAGATTACTCCAACAAACAGGTACGCACTTATCACCTGAATAGAAGATATACCACACAAAACTACAAGGATTACTCTCAAACCAATAGGTATCATACAAGGACTGACACACTTACCCAAGCAAGAAGAATCACTACTAACACCCGTCAACAAGACCACCACCAAAATCACAATCAATATCAAAATTACACCAACAAGAAATTCACACAGTCACCTTACAAACCTCAATGATCACATAAGCAACAAACTGATTTCTACCCTGGACCCCCAGTCGAACCCTCAGTCAGACCTAAATACCAGTCATCCCAAAAACTACCCCATTATAAACAAAAATACACACACTCTCCATCACCTAAGAAATATACCACCAATTCATATAAGATAAATTTTTCACCCAAACCCCAAAGAACTAGATATATCAATGACCGAATTGAGCATCCCAAATCACTCAGTATCCCTTACCACTCCAATAGATATCAACTACTATCAATCGATTCCGAATTCGAAAATGAGGATCATTTTTTAGAAATTCGCACTCACCCAAGCACTTTGAATCAAACACCCCACCCGTCACGATCACAAAATAGAACCCTAAGCCTAGAGGAAGAAGAAGTGGCAGACGGGAACAAGAGAGAAAAACTAGAAAGACAATAAGTCCTCCCAAAAATTTAAATAGTGGGATTTTTAACCTCTCCCAAAAAACTCTCACTGTAGCACAACTGTCAGTTTTAAGCAAAGGTCTTAAATTTGCTCGAACCAATCCTTTTAAACCCTTCGAGGCTTTTATTGACATTAATAAGTTTGTCCGCAAAGCAACCCTAAAACGTTATTTTAATGAAAAAACAGAAGAAAATTTTACTTCTAACAATCCACTGAAAATAGTGCAATTTTACCTCTTTCCCCCTCCCCAAAAAAACATACTATTAATACGCATTTTAAAGAAAAATCTAAATTTTATCCAGCTTTTATGAAAACTGCCCCTTTAACTGTTTTCGAGTGTAACGGACCGTTTAGCATAAAAGGGGAAAAAAAACGCTTAGACGATAATCCCCCTTTTCAGAGACAGGCACAGCTACGGTATAATCACCAAAACTCACGAACCGCCAATAAGTGAATGCTCCAAACTCCCGAACGGCATACAAGGGAATAAGGTAGCACTTCAAACTCCCGAACTGGAACCTCCCAAATAGCTGCTAGCAGACGAACAGGAAAAGCAGACGAACAGCTTACACTCCTGGCAATCAGTCTCTAACAGCATACAGTGAATCCCCCCAAGAACGAGACAAGGCTCCGTGTTGAGGGTCAAGCAGTGGTCTGAGGTGCTGGCACACCCAGCCTGGTTTTATTACAGTCTTGCAAATACAGGACCGCCCACAGGGAGGTATAAAACAACCAATCACATCACAGTTACATCCCACATATTCCCTCCCCTTATCCTGAGAGGAAACCCAATTATACATACAGTTAAAACATACTTTCTACCCAACTTTCATAACTCTAAAACCATACATCACATTCACATAAAATTACATATGCACAATCAATCCATTCAGGGGAACAACATATTCAAAAATGGCACAAATCAGACAAGGGGTTCAAAAGTGAGTAAAAAGTCCTTTGTGACTAAATGAAGCATGGCTTTCTGGCCCAAACCAGTTTCAGAGTCTTCTATCCTGGAGAGTAATTCAATTATCTCCCAGGACAGACACAAGACTCCATTAAGCACATGGTTGCAAAAAGACACAAAACACTTTAAAAATACATAAAGTCACATTTATTACATAAAACACAGACATGTAACATATCCCCAGATAGCTCAGGTCCGAGCGCACATTATTAAGCGAATGGCGCTCAGACCACACGAATACAGTTTAATCGCCATGGAGCCAAAGTCTTTACAGTCAGTTTCATACGAATGGGCTCCATGGGATTCCTATCTGGGGTACAACACATTCAACCAAAACTACCGAACCCCAGGCAGAAAAGCACGAATGAAGCTTTTCTGCAGGTAAAAAAGATGTCTTTTAACAGGGGACCATAGTCCAAAGGCAGCAGGCGAGCAACCAGGCTTCTCCAATGCAATGTGGCGAGATTGGTCTCGTCACATCTCTCCCCTTTTCCAAACAGACTAACAGGTATCTGACCTCCTGCCGGTCAGTGCCCTTGTTAGTCCAGCGGCCCACCCACAAGACATAATCAACAGCACAGCCCACCCACAATAAATGGTTACTGCACCTGGGTAGAGGAGAAGCTTGTCCATGTCCAGGTGCCTCACCACGGCTGTGCTGGGTATGGGTACGCTGACTTGGTGGGGTGCTGCGTGGGCAGAGACCAGCGGCACTCTGCCCTGTTGCCAGCGCTACTGGGAGGGTAGCCTGGTTGAAGCCTGGTTGTTGGAGAGGGAGACCGACTGTCTCCCTTTTAGATACACAGTCCTGCTGCTGGAGACCGACTGTCTCCCCTTTGGTTACACAGCTCTGCTGCTGGAGACCGACTGTCTCCCCTTTGGCTACACAGCCCTGTCGCTGGGGGGCAGAACCGACCGTCCCTACCCCCTGTGCTGTATGTGCAAAGACCACGGTCCCATCTGCACAGTTGTGGGGCTTACTGTCTCCCCCGGGTACATTAAGCTGCTGCTGGGGAGAGGGGGTAACAAGCTCCTCTCCCATATATACTTCCAGCCGCGGGGGAGGGAGACCGACTGTCTCTGCTCCCAATACAGAGTCCTGCTGCTGGGGAAAGGAGACTGGGCTCTCTATTCCCGGTAGGACACTCTGCCGCTGGGGAATGGAGACTGGGCTCCCAATTACCTGTTTTATCTCCGGGGAATGGGACTATTCTCCCAATTGCAGCTCGTCATACGCTGGGAGGGGACACTGCTCTCTCCTCTCCCTGGACTTCACACTGCCTTCCCGACATATCGCGCAGCTGCTGGGGGGCAAGACAACTACCTCTGCCCACCAACAGGCTGTCGCTGGGGAGGATTTCTCTCCCCTCTCCTGTACTTCCTGGCTACCTTCGGCATATCCTCTGCTGCTGGGGGCGGGCCTTCCTCACCCCCTGTAACTCAGCCACCTGCGGCTGGGGAGGGAGGACACTCTCCTCTCCCTGCGCTGCACCGCTGGGGAATGGAGACTGGGCTCCCAATTCCCAATAAATCACACGGCCGCTGGGGAATGGAGACTGTGCTCCCAATTCCCTGCAGGACCGGTGGAGAGACCTCGGTCCCATCTCTACCGGCCACCTGGGGTTCTTCCCAGAAAATATCAACAATGTCTTGCCAGCTGAATGGGTCTGGAACTGGATCTGTCACCTTGCTGTCCTGCTGAATCTTCTCAATGGAGTGGAAGAGATCTCGGTAGTCCTGCTCCAGTTCCCACTCCAGGGTTGCTAGGTGAGCCAGGTCTTGCTCAATGTTGTGAGTGTCGTCCCAGTCATACCTGCTCTCCCTCCACTCCAAGAGATCACTGAACCGGGCTTGTATAGGGCTCCCAAATTCAGGCTCTGAAAAAGCCTCCCATAACAAGCCAGGACCATCAAACTCCTCTCCCTCTGGCTTGTCATGCTCGGCTGTCCAGGGCAGGTACCACAGTACTCCATACCACCAAGCCTGGTAGGCATCTTCAGCCAAATCTCCCTGCCATACCGGTGCTCCAATTCCCTTCACCCCCATTCATCCAGGGGCTGCTCTCCCAGGAAGGGGCATCCATGGGGAACCACTTCTTCTGCAACAGCTGCTCTTCACTACAAGGGAGACTCACCGCCCGCTGGTATTATACATTATCCAGGAGAAGCCTGGTACCCAGATGCTTTCCTTAATGCATCTGACCATCCAGTCCTCCTCTCGTATGACACTGCTGGTTCCATTCTGTTGCTGTCAAGGGTGCTTTAATACTGAACATGCGTTACCCTCAAATTGTAAATCGCGGAATGGTGTCTCCTGTAGCTGTCCTTACCTGGCTGTAGGAACTTGATCCCACTGCTGCCACCAATTTATAACGGACCGTTTTGCACACAAGGGGTAAAACCACGTTTGAAGTGATGCGGCCTCCAGAGATGCGAGCACAGCTACTGCAGGGCACCAAACTCCTGAACTGGATACAAAATAGCACTCCAGCTCCCGAACTGGAACCTCCCAAATAGCTGCTAGCAGACGAACAGGAAAAGCACCCAAGCGGCTTACACTCCTGGCAATCAGTCTCTAACAGCATACAGTGAATCCCCCCAAGAACGAGACAAGGCTCTGTGTTGAGGGTCAAGCAGTGGTCTGAGGTGCTGGCACACCCAGCCTGGTTTTTATTACAGTCTTGCAAATACAGGACCGCCCACAGGGAGGTATAAAGCAACCAATCACATCACAGTTACATCCCACATATTCCCTCCCCTTATCCTGAGAGGAAACTCAATTACACATACAGTTAAAACATACTTTCTACCCAACTTTCATAACTCTAAAACCATACATCACATTCACATAAAATTACATATTCAC